AAAAGAATTTTGTATAAGAGCACTGGAGAGTGGTGGTGCATCAACACGGGCCAGGCACAGAACTACAACAAACAAATAGCTTTGGACCATCTAGTCCATGAACAACCTCAGATGGAGGCAGGGAATAGGGAATATTTCAGTCTCCATTTTTTTTTCCTGGCAGGTAGGCCAATTTTTGCGTGTTGTTTTTGTATTCTTCTTTCTTTTTTGATTTTGCACTATAGCCTAGAGACCCAAATGAGAAAACAAAAATCCTACTAATGGCATGGGAAACTTTGTCAATTAGATCAGATAATTTGATGCACATTCTGCACTGTGATTGAGATCCTAAAAAAGCAGAAAAACACAAATTAAAAAAAAAAACACCACTATTGCACACTATTCTGTAGCAGAGTCTCTACCATGAGAAGATACCTTATGACAGCCAAACAAATAGTGCATATAAATAACGTTTCCTTTGCTTCCATATTTATTTAGCAAATCTAGAACATTTCAAAGGTATAAATATATATATAGATATATATGTAGAACATAGCCAAATAACTATATATGAACTGGTCAGTGTGCAACTCGGTATACACATGCTAGCTGTTTAGTTTGAGATCTTCAGCGTCCTCTCGGTTGTAACGCAGTCAGACTCTGGGCTCCCCGCGCGGCGGCAGCTCCGGCCCCGTGTCCCGCCGGGAGGGCTCCGCGTGGTGAAGGAGCCGCCGGAGCCGTGGACGGAGCCACGCGGGCAGCGCCGACGGCTCCTCCCGGACTCTTTCTACACCCGTCCTCGATGCAAAGCGTCTCCAGGGCCCAGGCATCCCGGCTGTACGGCGCAGCACTTCCCAACAGGAACTGGTGAGCTCGGCTTGGCGCTGTGGATCTGTCTCAGCATCCGTCATCGGCCGTCGTCTGTCCAAGGAAACGTGTTTTGACGATGACCAGTTTCTCCTTAGCTCTCGTGGTGGACTTTAACCTCTTAATAAATGTTAGTATATCAGATTGTGTCCTTGACAGTATTTTACTTGTATGAACCATGATAAACCATTAAAGTCGTCATGCTCTTCTGGCAAAAGTGTCAATAAAAGCGGGAGCGACGTGGGGCGTGCACTATGTGTCAGAGCAATGTTCCTTTCAGCTTTCTCATGAGAAGTAAAAATGTTTACACCGTATGCCAAGATCTTCGGTTTCTGCCTAACGCCGGCAAGAGGTTCCGATCTTACCGAAATTGTGGTTTAACGGCCCGAGCCTTGTTGCTAGGAGACACTAGGTTCCCCTTTTTTAATTCCTGCTCTAACTCCTGTGCTGAACAGTGACTGGGTACTGTACAGGTCTGTGTTACATGGCTGCAGTGAAACGGTCTGAGGTTTGCTCTGGCTTTCAGACCAGAAGCATGCTTTTTCTACAAGAACATCCCAGCAACGTGCTGTAAATATTGAAAGTTAATATATTATGTGTCGATATTTGGGGGAAAAAAAAAAGGTACTTTGACTATTTCATTTTTAAAAAATAAAGGTGCAAACTAATGGCACGTGATGTTGTCTGTGTTTCCACCGTGCGGGATGCCCTGAGTTTAGGAAGCGCTTCCCTATGAGTGCCGAGGTGTCCCCCAAGTGCAGCTTGAGGCAGCACTGGTTGATGCAAAAACCAGGGGAGTGAGCGGTGTTGCCAGCAGTGTTTGGTTTTACTTCTGATTCACCAATGAATGTCGGTCTCATAGCACTGCATGCAAAATCACAGCTTGGCTTTGCACAAAGGTGACTGTTTCATCAGAAAAACGTGAGCGAGGGAAGGAGTTCCTGGAAAGCAGCAGCAGCTTCCACGAAGCAGTCGTGCAGCTGCCGTGGGGCCCGAGCAGCAAAGCTGAATCGTAGAGTAATGGTTGGAAAAGGCCTTTGAGTCGAGCCATAAGCCCCTCAACACCCCCTGCTAACTGTGTCCCTCAGCGCCTCGTCTACACACTTGAACACTGCCAGGACCGGTGACTCCACCACTTACCTGGGCAGCCTATTCCAATGCTTGACTCTGCTTTTCATGTAGATTTTTTTCCTAATACCTAACCTGAACCTCCACCAGCCACAACTTGAGGCCACTTCCTCTTTTCCTAGTTACTTTAGAGATCGACTCCTGCCTCACTACAGTCTCCTTTCAGGTAGTGATTAGGTCTCCCCTGAGCCTCCTCCTCTCCAGACTAACTTCAGCTCTTCCTTCTCATAAGGCCTGTGCTCCAGCCCCTTCACCAGCTTCATTGCCCTTCTTTGGACACTCTCTACGTCCTTCTTGTCCTGAAGGGCCCAAACTGAACACAGTATTCAAGGGGCGGCCTAACTAGTGTCAAGTCCAGCACGGCGCTTCCTAGTCCTGCTGGCTACACCACTCTTGGTATGAGCCAGGAGGCCGTTGGCCTTCTTGGCCACACCGCTGGCTCACGTTCAGCCGGCTGTTGACCAATGCTCCCAGCCCCTTTTCTTCCACACAGCTCTCCAGCCGCTCTGCCCCAAGCCTGTAGCATGGGGTTGTTGTGATGACCGAAGAGCAGAACGTGGCATTTGGCCCTATTGAACCTCATACAATTGGCCTCAGCCCATTGAGCCAGCCAGTCCAGATCCTCTGCAGAGCTTTCCCACCCTCAGGCAGATCAGCTCTTCCTCCCTGCTTGGTGTGTCTGCAAATTTGCTGAGGGTGCTCTCAGTCCCCTCACTCAGATCATCGATAAAGGTATTAAAACACTGTCCCCTGAGGAACACTGTTCGTGACTGGCCACCAGCTGGATTCAACTCCATTCACCACCACCCTCTGGGCCCGACCAACCAGCCAGTTTTTCACTCAGCAAAGAGTACCCCTGTCTAAGCCATGAACTACCAGCTTCTCCAGGAGGAGGCATTGGGAGAGTGTGTCAAAGGCCTTGCTGAAGTCTAAGTAGACCATGTCCACAGCCTCATCCACTAGATGGGTCACCTGGTCATAGAAGCAGATCAGGTTGGTGAGGCAGGACTTGCCTTTCAGGAACCCGTGTTGGCTGGGCTTGATCCCCTGGTTGTCACACACATGCTCTGTGTGATTGTCCTCAATACGATCTCCTCTGTAACATTCCCTGACATGCAGGTCAGGCCTCTAGCTCCCCAAATCCTCCTCCCACTCCTCCTACCCACTCCTTCTTGTAGATGGGCATCACACTGGCAAGTCTCCAGTCATCTGGGGCCTCCCCTGTTGAGCAGGACTGCTGATAGCTGATGGAGAGATGACAATAGGGAGCTCTTATTTCCTGGCCTGCCTCAGAGAGATGGTGATAAGCAATTGTTCATACAACAACCGCACTTACAAGAAGGAATCTAACCACACGGCGCCACAAGGCAGGAGAGCTCCAGCGTGAGGCAGCAACACAAAAGGGTGCAACGTCATCACCTGAGGGCTGTCAGGACCACGGCGACTCAGTGTGTGGCACACTCATGTGTGCTGAAATACGTAACAATCATAAATTTAGTAGCTTCTAAATATTCTATGACAGAGCAAACCAAGCTCAACATACCACTATGCTGCACAGTCAGATAAGGATCTTGGTTGAACTGCAGGATGTGCAACAGGTTGGTGCAGCGCAATGCACCGTGTGGTGCTCATGTGGAGCTGCTTTGTGGTGGCAGCGATGGGAAGACGCTGAACCAGAGAGGACAGCTGAGCACAGAGTGGGAATCGATGTTTGTCACCACGTCCTGACAGTGCCCTCCACCTGTCCCTTCTTCATGTAGATGGCTGTTTCCAGTGTGATTCACAGGGAACAGGCTGCATGTCATGACAAGCGGCATGCACACACTCACGTACATGCACACACGCACAAAAACAGCAACACAAAACTTCAGCCTCACCAAATGCAAAGCAAAATGCTGCTTGCACAGGACTCACACTGCTTCCCCACTGCAATTACTGCCCCTTCCTGCCTGGCACCCCCTTTGCTATGGCCACATGACAACACGGGGACCCACGGGCCCGTCAGTGAGGTCAAGCCAGGGTGTCGGATCACACTGTGTGGGTCTCCCTAGTGCATCACCACAGGCAGCCACACACGTGGCCGTGCCAGCGCCTCGCAAGGCAGCTGGCACCAGCGACATCCCTATGGGCAGCAATGCACAGAGGTGTGACCTAGGGGGGAGCAGCTGCAGTACACCAAAATACTCGGCTATGGAAAGCAAGGCAGAGCAAACAGCAAGCCAAAATAATTCATTTCTTTGAGCCATATACATTTTTTTTCTTTTTGATGTAAAAAGAATAGCTGAAAACCACTGACCACAGAATCGTTGAGGCTGGAAGGGCCTAGAGATCCTCTAGGCCAACCTCCCCGTTCAAGCAGGGAGGTTGGGCTAGATGTTGTCTACAGCCTCATGTTCCCTATGTCATTGGGTGTTCCCAAGCACTCAGTAACGCACTGTCATCACCCGTGCAAGCAGTGAGCAGCCTATCTGCAGGGCAGGAGAGCCTGGAGGGCCAGTGCACCCCTAACACGGTTGCAGTGGGAGATGATCACTGCCATGTACACAGGTCGCCCAAGGCAGGAGCACCATACCCTGAGCAACTTCTGTGAGGACATGGGCCTCAGAACTGCCTGGCCCAGTGCTGCAGGAATCTCAGCCAGAGCAGTTGATTCTGAGGTCGTCACATAAAAAATAGGGGCTAATATTGAAGTGGAAAACACTTCTACTTGGGAGTACAAGGACAGGAGAAGAAAAAAAAAAAAAGATAAAGCTATTAACTGCTTAGTGGTTGACTTTTTTATCATATACATATATATATATACACACACACATATATATATAAAAAGCAAAACTAAATTCAAAATATTTCAAAACTTTTTAGAAACTTGAAACCTGTTATGAGCTAGAAAGTCTGTTACATACACATTTCTGCAAATGTTACGTGAAAACTCATGGAGTTGTGTTAACCATCACATAAGCCCGTCTGCTGCGGGCACAGCAGAGCGGCGAGACAGGCCGCGCGCATGCACTGCGGTGGGGACGTCTTCATGAGGGCTGCAGGGGGAAGCCGTGGCCGTCCGTCCTCCCTGAGGAGAGCAAGGGCAGAGAGGTGAGGGCAGCGTCTCGGCGGCAAGCAGCCCCAGCACCACAGTTGCTCTCACAGAATCATCGAATCATGATAGTTGGTAAAGACCCTTGTGTTCACTGAGTACAACTGCAAGCCTCTCAACACCATACCTGCTAAACCAAGTCCCCAAGCACCTCATCTTTCTTGACTACTCTCAGGGATGGTGACTCCACCACTTGCCTGGGCAGCCAGTTCCAATGCTTGACTACTTTCTATGTGGAAATCCTTCTTAATGTCTAACCTGAACCTCCCCCAGCACAACTTGGGCCTCCTCTTCTCAGGACTAGATCATCCCAGCTCCCTCAGCTGTTCCCCATAAAGTCTGTGCTCCCACCCCTTCATCAGCTTCGTTGCCCTTCTTTGGACTAGATACAGGACCTCAAAGTCCTTCTGGCAGTGAGGGGCCCAAACCGAACACCGTATTTGAGGTGCAGCCTCACCAGCATCAAGTGCAAGGGGACAACTGCTTCTCTAGTCCTGCTGCCTACACAATTCCTGTTACAAGGAATGCCACTGGCATCCTGGGCAACAGCAGCAGGGAGTGCAGGGAGCTGTGCAAGGCTCCCACTCCGGCGAGGCCACGGAAAAGCCCCGCTCTGCTCGCATTAGCAGGACTTGGTGCCATCCATGGGGTTCCCAGCAGCAAAGCTCAAGGAGGGTCTGGCCCGGGCGCCTCACGTACCTGCAGCCGTGGGGCGCTTGGCCTTGCCCTTGGTGACCACGGGGTGCTGCAGGGGCGTCACGAGGCCCTGGTCGGGCCTCTGGAAGGCCGTGATAAGGTTGCTGATCTTCCGGAAGAGCCGCCGGTGCACGCCGGGCGCCGTCTGCAACGCCACCGGTCCCACGTGTCACACAGGGCAGGACGACGGGTGGATGGCGCCACCGTCCCCGGCCCAGCAACGAGCCACGAGCTGCCCCGGCCTCAGCGAGCTGCCCCGGCCTCGCACCCACCTCCCCTTCCTTGCCCTTTTTAACTCCGCAGCAATATGTGACTCACAGTTACCCACAGGCCTGGCTGACCCCAGAAATCAGGCTTGTGTCTCAGAGCACTGCAAACACTTCTGTTGTTACAATAACAGCCAAAGAATTAAGCCTGTGTGTTTAGCAATTATTTACTGTTTGCAACTCACTGTTAAGGTGCAAACCGACTGCTAGATAGGAATTAATACGCTGACTAACTCCAAACAGAGCAAGACCTTCACCAAAGAAATGGAGGGTAACATTCACACTGCTTGAGCAGCAAGGTCTATATTGTGAACAGGCTTGTGCACACCTGAATCACCAGCTGCTTAGCACTCAGGTGGAGACACATTTTGTGTCAAGATTTGGCTATCCTATAATTGCACATGAATGTATATTTTTGTATCCTATATATATTTTACACAAATGATGAAATACTCTGGAGAAGAAATAAAAGTTTTAAATTGTGAATGTTGTACGTGGAATCGCTTTGGACATTCTGGCATCAGTAACACGTGTGCTAGAAGAGAAATGAATGCTGATGGTGCTTGTCAAATTACAAGAGCACAATATTTCTGCCATTTAAAATGATGCAAAACAATGCACTACTGCATTATGCAAGAGCTGAGATATAACAGGGAATGAATTTACGAGCTCAGGACTGCCAGAACTGGCACCAAGACATCTTGCTGATGGGCTCGCTTGAGATCAATTACCTTCAATGAAAATCCGACTATGCAGAAACATGAATAATTTGGATATACTTCATGAAATCAATACCAACATGAAGAGGATGCAGGTGTTTTTCAGAAGGACAGGGAGAAGTACCCACCTCAGCACTCCAGGACCCTTCGTCTGTCCTGTACACCCTGTAGGTGTAGACGTAACCTTGATGCCTGTAAAAAGAAATATTATTTATTATTACTACTCATTTATTTTGTCAGGTTTCATGTGCAGCACACTCTGATAATTGGTAGACCAACCTTTCCTAAATAAATCCATCCATATGGGCTACAGTTAGATGCAAAACTGAGACCTAGTTTGGAAGCTGTCTTCAAGCCTCTTTTTTTTTTTTTTTTTTTTTTTAAATATGTGCGGTATTTGTTTTACCCAGATCTAATTTATTGAGAGCCAGTTACTCCAGGTTAAATGACTGTTGTGCTTTCTGATGGAACATTTTTACTTTTCCTAATGGAACATTTTTATTTTTACTTTTTCAGTGATGGTCTTTTAATGACAAAACTAACACATAACTTCTCCAGAAAAAAAGAACACTTGTATTATTGTCAGACAACACTGCTGCTATGTGATTTATTTAAATGCAGATATTCCCAGAAGCAATACTATGAGTGTAATAATTTATTTGGAAAGCTAGCACCACAAAAATCCAAGTAAATTACTTTTTGTCTTGCCAGTACATTCCCAGTCCTCAAACACTGAACTGATAGAAGACCCCTGAACCTTAAGAGAGCATGAAATCTTCTCTTTTTTAAAAAACATCTATTTAGAAACCTTTGAGAATAAGAAGCCATAATACCTGCTGGTGTCTGCAGTGAGTCCTGCTGCTCCTAAGCATCCAAGACAGTGAGTGATCTACTTGGTAAAACCCTACACCAACACCCAAAGATACAGCTTAGAAGCAGGGACATGGTAGCGGTTCCATGGGTGCAATGTTAGTTGAGATGGTATCAGACAAGAAAAAGTGTATTTATTTTATACTTCACGGACTATCTGACTGCATAGCAGGATTTTAGGGATCACTCGCTATTTCAACATCAATTTTTATTCTTAAGAAAGCAGAAAAACACTCTATCTCTTTCCAATTTTGCACAGTGTTACAGTAGTTACCGCAAAATAGGAGTCACAATCAATGACGCAGACACCCTAAGATCACAATTACACTCCATGTCATTGCTCCTGGACAAATTCTTATTAAAAAGTCATTATGGCAGCCCCTGCAAAGGGCTTTGATTTAGCCAGTGAGGATGCTGTCACATTGCTCTGACACCACAGAGTGGGAGCTGGGCACCCAGCTCCGATTTGTGAGCGTTTTTCCCCCCCCCCCCCCGGCAATTTAGCGCAGAGCCCCTGGACACAGAGCACATTCCCTCCTGTCCGACCTGCAAGAACACGGATGGCTGCTGCCTCCCATCAAAGGTGCCCTGCTGCTCGTGCAGGTGGACATCCATCCAATAGAAATCCCAGCTTTCCACCACAGTTTCGTCCACCTTCCCATTTTAAGGAGCATTTTTGCAGAGCCACAAGTCCCCAGTTGGTGCCAGATGGACATGAGAAGCATCTGGTCGTGATGTTCATGGACCACCAATGGAGAGGTGGAGAGGACCGACACAGACCGAGAACACGGTGGTACTCATGTTCCACCCTTGGATGGTCATGGTGGTTGATAACAGAGCCCAAGCTCAGATGTTTAAAGCACATCCATAGAGAGGCCACCAGAGAAGTTCATGTTTGGAAAAGTCATTGCCTCCCATTATAGCCCTTGGACCATCTTTTTGTACCACATCTTACAACTGATGCGATATCCTCATATTATAGAGATGTATCACAGATATTTTCATCTTCTCTTGAGTAGCTGATGTTCACATTATCTTTCTAGAAATCACAAGGAGCTTTCCTGCTGCCTAGTGTATGTAGGATGTCAGTCACTGTATGGATACTGAAATAAGCTTTTTTTTAACGTCAGGGTAAAGGGAAATACCAAATCCAATTTTGCATTTTATCCCGTCTCATTGGAATGGATGTTTTACCATCTCCCTGTTTTTCTTTCCAAACCTCAAAACCAAGAGAACTGTCTTGTAAAATCAAAGACTCACTCTCTTGCCTCCTACTTTTACTAATACTCTGTGAGGATCACCAGTGCTTGTGCTTAGTTGTCCTGAAGCATTCCAATTGCTCAATCACTTTAAAAATCTGATTTTTCCACAAACGGCTCAGTTGCCTGGAAAACTACCATCTGTTGTTTGTCTTTTCCTCCTCCTAAGAGAGCCCATGACTTGAAGTGGTGGGAGGATTGGGGTGCTCAGAGGTCTGATGGCTTTTCACATGCTGCCAGAAGAGCCTACTAAGCTGGACAAGCTAAAAAATAAAGCCCAGACAATATTCACAGCCCAAGGATAGAGTCACCTACATAGCATAAAAACCTGTAAATAACACAGACAAGCCTGGGGAAAGCACTAATGATAATACAGATATAATCTGCGAGAGAAACAGGAACAAGAATGTGGACATTTTGAGCACGATGTGGAGCATGAGCGGAATGTGACAGTGCTGTCACAGCCCTGCCAGTGACAAGTGAGAGCTTCAATTCATTTGGCAAGTCTGCTTTTCCCTTTTCCCCAGAGGAGGACAGACTGCAAGGCATGAAGAGGGTTTAGCGTTCGTAAGCTGAAAAACTCCATGTTCTCATCTGTTGTTAGCACTGAAGCCATGAGCAAACAAACCCCCTTGTGCAAAGGGAGATGAAACAGGCATTTTGTGGGCGCTTCTTCGGAGGAAATGGACCAAGGAATGGGGCTCTGTTTTGTTAAGAACATGAAAAACTAGGTCTTCCCATCCAAACACTTGTTGCCAGGATCTTTGTTTCCACAAAATGAAGGCTTTTTTTGATAATTATTCCCATAACAAATATGATCTTATCAAAACTTTCTGTTAAACAGCAGGAACTTACTTCATTACCACTTCAAAGTGCTTTCTACCTTGAGTGTGTGAGTGACATGATTTTGATGAGCCAAAAATGTCTTTACTTTTACATGGGCACAGGCTCCCATGAGAAATACCTTATAATTTAAGCAGCCCAACATAAAGTGAGATCAGTGGGGCTGAAGGAGGAACAAGCTATTTTTCTAAAACAAAAATCAGAAGAAAAAAATTAAAAATTGAGCCTGTGCAGAACATTTACTTTCCAATTAGTAGAAGAGACAACACCTGGAGAAAGCAAGAAGGAAAGTGTGCTTACTGGCCCTTAGGTCTCAGGAGATGGGAAATTCCCCAGCGATCATCAGAGGATGGCTCAGTTTTCTACAACTTATTCAATTCATGGCAGAAAAAAGGCTTAATTACAGGCTGTCCCCATGCCTAGCTGCTCAAGCCAGTAAGCTGAGTACCATGTGGCCTGGGCACAGCTGTCCCCATGGGCTGGTGGCCACTCTCCCCCTCACAGCTTGTGTCTCAAAGCCATTGTCCATACAGAGCCAGGCCCTGACCTCACCTCCTTGGGCAAGGGAAGACCAAGGAGAAGGACACGTAGCAGGTCAATGAGAGGAGGATTTCAGGTGGGCTCTCGCTGACATCCGCTTGTCTGGGTTTCCCTGAGAAGGACCTCACGCCCAGCAAGCACCGATGAAAGGCAAGGCTGTCCTTTCGTCTGGCCTGAGCTCTTCTACAGCAAGCTCTGCTGTCACAAAGGTCCTACTCTGTGCCAATGAAGCTAAAGCAATGGGCGCAATCCCGAATTAGCAACTCGGTGACCTGAGCCCTATAGACTCCTGATCGAAGATGGGAAGTGCTGGTGCATCGTGAAGATGCTGGCAAGGTGAAGTGCAAAATAAATCTTGCTAAAAAGACAGCACTGGGCAGCACTTAAAATTTTAAGAGTGGTTTAGTGACCACTGATGATTTTTCTCTCCTCTCACATGTTTCAGGTAATTTCTTGTCTCCATAGCAAAGGAGCTCTACCAGCTGGGAACACCACTAGCACCGTCTCTGTTGCAGCAACATAATTAGGAAAACTTTGTCAAAGGAAAAATCTAGGAAAAGTTCTTATGATGACAGGAAACAGTCCACTTTTTGTATTACAGTTGTATTTTTCTTTATAGACAGATAATTCCTCCCAATGAGCTACAAAGGCATCTTTTACAGATGACATACCAAGACAGCATCTGTCTACCTGTCCTCTCCACTCCTGCTTTTCAACTGTGATCAGACTTGCTAAACCCATATTTTCCTTAACAGGTGAATAATTATAATCTTCCGCACCACTGAAATTGCTAGAGGATATTAGCTGCATGCTGCAGCTTAAAATTAACCATGACATTTCGGCTGCATGGTACATTTTAGAATCACTTCCAAATGTTTTGCATCTCAGTTGGGGAATTTTATTAAACTAATTTGTATTCATTTCTGACTCCAAAATGGAATGTAAAGGGATCAAGACAGAGATGGGGGAAAGCAATGTCAGCAATAAATGACATCAATTTCCTTCTCTTTACATCTCTTTTTTCTGATGTCTCTGCACTATAATAATCAACTCTTCTTATGTGGTGCATTTGCATCCTGACCTCACCTGGGAATTTCAGTTAGACAATACTACTTAAGAATGAACTACAACCTATGAGTAATGGTCCTGGGTGGGCCATTACATGGTGCCTTTTGGGCTTCTGCACAAGGCTGTCACCTCAGACTAATGTGAAGGTGAGAGATGGAGATGTCAAATGAGGGTATCAGGTAAAACAATGTATTTTCCGTATGTTTTCTGACAGTTGCATGGGGAAATGGTGGGGTTTTTGGTGCAGTTATTAAAGCAAGGGTGAAAATTTGCTTGAAGGAAGGTTTGTCTCCAAGCAGTGGTGGCCTCCAAGTCTGGTTGGCAGCTGTCAGCTCTGGCCACATCTGGGTGCACAGCTACAGCAGCTCCATGACTGCACGCTAGAGATGTCACCTGTCCTGGCTTGGAGGAAAGAAAACTGGAACTCATTTGAGACTGGGGATCTTGGAGAGGAAGGGTGGTGGTGGAGCTGGTGTGGGAGGAAAGAGAAGGGGCTCTGCAACCATGTTTGCCGGGCAAGGAAATGAGGAGCAGGAGTGCGATCAGAGCCACCAGCACGGACCATGGCCCCACAGCAAACAATGACACAGCCAGTCCAGCCCATCTCATGCA